AGGATGCCCCTCAGCCCAATCTGGTAGGATGCACCCTCTCCAATCTGGGACTCGTCTCATAATCCAGGATTGCTGGCTCCCAACTCCTCGCCTGCCTGCCTTTCTGAACCGCTTCTGCCTGCCAGCCCATTCACCCTCTAACCACTCCCTGGCCAGCCTGATTGATGCCTAACTGCTCCCCTGCCAGTCCAGTTGCCCCTAACTGCCCTCTCCTGCCAGCCTGGTCACCCCTAACTGCCCTCCCGTGCCAGCCTCATCGCCCCTAACTGTTCTCCCTTGCTGGTATGGCACCTCCCCCCCCTCGCCAACTGCCTTCCCCTGAAGACCAGGCCCCCCCAACTGCTCTCCCCTGCAGGCCTGAGTCCCCCCCCCTCCAATTGCCCTCCCCTGCAGGCCCAGTCGCCCCCAACTTTTCTCCACTGCCAGTCTGGTCACCCCTGCAGGCTTGATTGCCCCCAACTGTCCTCCTTTGCAGATCTGGTCCCCCACAACTGCTCTTCCCTGCTGGCCTGATCGCCCCCAACTGCCCTCCCTTGCAGGCATGGTCCCTCCCACCTGCCCTCCCTTGCTGGTCATCTTGTGGCAGCCATCTTGTGTCCACATGGGGGAAACCATCTTGTGTGTTGGAGTGACAGTCAATTTGCATATTACTCTTTTATTAGATAGGATAACAGGTGGTATTTTAAACTATTTAATTTGCAGTACTTTGTTAGAGAAAGTTTTAAAAAACAGACTGAAACTCTGTTCAGTTTTTTAGTCTTTTTTTCCCTCTATTCAAATTTGATTACTTTTGCTGAAACCGGTTTGGCTCAGCGGTGGAGCGTCGGTCTGACAGAAGGGTCCCAGGTTCGATTCCGGTCAAGGGCATGTGCCTGGGTTGCGAGTACATCCCCAGTGAGGGGTGTGCAAGAGGCAGCTGGTCGATGTTTCTCTCTCATTGACGTTTCTAGCTCTCTATCTCTCTCCCTTCCTCTCTGTAAAAAATCAATAAAATATATATTAAAAAAAAAATTTGATTACTTTTATTGACCTTTCTTCATGTTCACTGTTTCTGTAATTTTCAATCTGCTCTTAAGCTTATCCAGTGAATATTATTAGTTGACATGCTGTCCTTTTCATTTCAATACCATTTCTCTTCTGAGCGCTCACCATCTTCTTATGACCATCTTTGGCTTTAAGTTCTTGAAAAATATGTATCCTGGCTTTAAAGTATTTTTTTTTTCACTAATTCTAATATTTGGGTTATGCAATTACCAGTTTTTATTGATTTTTATCTTGATTGTGGGACACTTTTTTGCATCTCTTAACAATTTTTTAATTTTATACTGGTCATTGTAATTATTTGTTGTAAGGAAGTAGCTAGATTATATTGTCTTCCTTTAAAAAGTATTGAGTTTTGTCCTGTCAGGTAGTTATTTTATTGGATGATCTTTTAGGTTTTTGTCAGGCTTTGTTTTCTTTGTGAGACAGACCTATTTTGATATTGAATTAAATTCTAGGGATCTTTATTTTTAAAATATGATGTTTGGGGGTTTCAACTGAATGCTGGAAATGTTCTCTCTACTCTAGTTGGGTGGAATATTAGTCTGTTTGGCCTGCCATAACTTAATACCACATATTAGGTGACTTAAACAATCGAAATGTATTTTCTCACAGTTTTGAAGACTGGAAGTCCAAGACCAAGGTCCCAAAAGGGCTGGTGTTTAGTGAGGACTCTCCTATTGGGTTGCAGATGGCTGCTATCTCACTGTGTGCTCACATGATCTCTTTCTGTGGTTGAGGAGAGAGAGAGCTTTCTGGTATCTCTTTTTAGGTAAATCTGCTGGATTAGGGCCCCAGTCTTATTATCTCATTTTACCTTAATCACTTTGCTAGAGACCCAGTCTCCAAATACATCTACACTGGCAGGTAATTACAGATGAGTTTTGTGGGACACAGACATTCTGTTCATAACAAGCAGGAATTCTCAAAACTCCAGCATTGCTCTACCTTTCAGACCCATAGTAGGTGATCTTTGCTAGACCTCATCTAGAGACTCATCGTGTGTGTGTGTGTGTGTGTGTGTGGACCCCTCCAGCAGAGGGGTGTTGATTAACAAAAAGGATGTGTTCAGAAATCTCGTCTCTGTCTGATTGCTTTATGAGGCTGGTTTTCTTTTGTTGGGACAGAAAAGTGTTCCTAGCAGAAATCTGGGGCCACCATGAGGTTCATTTCATATTTTATATCCCTTAAAGATCTCAGACCTACACTACTGTTATTCATTTGCCTCATATTTTGGCCTGTTTTATACTTGTTTTTGGTAGAATAGCAAATCTGGTACCAGATATTCTGTCATGGTTGGAAGCAGATCAGTCATGAGTTCTTATTTCCAAACATAGTTGGAGGAGCTTTAAAGATCTCTTGTGGGCATTCTTATTTTATATAGTTATTTTTTTTTTATTACTGATAGAGCCTATTTTATTAAAAGTTTTATGAGTAGACTTGAGTTCTTTTTAAAGCTGTATGTTGAACATAATGGCCTCTGTGGCAGGGGAGCCTTATTTATGGACTGTTTCTTTATGATATAGTTAGAATCTTTCTGAAATATTTCACTGGGTAGATGAGGTTCTCTACAGGTAGTAATCAAAACCTGGTGATGAAATGTTATGACTTACACCCACCAAACTCTGGAAATTTAGCATGTAGGCCCCAGGAGAGCTCATTTAACACTCTCACTTTCTATGCATTTGACATAAGATAATGTGAGCTATGGCTCCAACACTGGGCAAAGTGACATGCTATAAAAGAATGTTTCCTTAATTACAATATTTAAAGTTTTTTCCAGGAGTTTAAAATACTCCGAAGTACATAACTGCTATTTTGTTCATTTGAAAAATGGAATTCTTTTTGACAGGCTATTATAAAGTCTTCAGATTTTATACTTTTTACAAAGAGTAATCATGAGCCCTATATTTGTAGAGAGTAATACTCTTGCTGGATAGGGTATTCAAATCAGAGCTTTTAATTTTCTGTATAATTAATCAAATAAAAATATTCTATTTAGATATTTTTGAAATTATTAGAGGGGTTTTGGAGGGTATTGCATAGGTTTAGCATTTAATTGTGTTTTACATGGCCAAAATTGTGTTTCAAGATTTGATAATTGATTATTTTGATTTCTCAGTTCATAGAGGAAAGGATAGATTCTTAGATGTTGGATCTACTGCGAATATTGTGTAAAAATATTTTTTTCTATTTGTGTCTGTCATGCCATGTGCTAAATGAAATATCTGAGTAAAGATTTGCTCATAAAAGAGAAACGATATATATATATAAAGTATATAGGTAAATATTTAATCTTCATGTAGTTGAAAACACTGATGAAAGATATTATTAAAAGAAAAGAAGGATAGATCTGTACAGCAAAAATAAATTTCCAGCATAAGCAAAGAGAAAAGATGAACATGAGGTTGGCAACCTTTTGATGCATGGGATGACGCTCAAACAACTGAGCCACACCAATGAGGGCCATAGAGTATATTTTGGAGTTGTTTTCTTTTCTTTTTTTTTTCCTTACTATATTTTATTGATTTTTTACAGAGAGGAAGGGAGAGAGATAGTTAGAAACATCGATGAATGTTATTAATCAGTTGCCTCTTGCACGCCCCCTACTGGGGATGTGCCCGCAACTAAGGTACATGCCCTTGACCGGAATCGAACCTGGAACCTTTGAGTCCGAAGGCTGACGCTCTATCCATTGAGCCAAACCGGTTTCAGCAATTTTGGAGTATTTTAAAACTATATATGAAACATTCACATATTGCTAGTGGGAATGTAAAGAGGTGCAAATGCTTTGAAAAACTGCCACATCCTAATAAAATTAAATAGAGTTACTATGAGATTCAGCAATTCTAGGTATATATCAAGAGGAATAAAAACATACATCCACACAAAAATTTGTACACAACCATTTATAGCAATATTGCATTACTTATATTAACCAAGAAGTTAGAAAAAAATATATCAGAATGTTCGTCAACTGGTGGTGAAATAAAATAAGGTATCATCTATTCAGTGGAATAATATTCAGCAATAAAAAAAAAAATGAAGTACTGATACACTCTTTAACATGGGTGAATCTTGAAAATATTATGCTGAATAAAAGAAGGCATTCAGGAAAGACCATATGTTGCATGATTTTATTTGTATGAAAAATCCATAATAGAAACCTATAGAGATACAAAGTAGATTAGTGGTCTAGGGTGGAGAGGATAGGGTAAGTCTATACTGTGACTGCCAATGGGTATGGATTTCTTTTTAGGGTAATGAAAATGTTCTAAAATTAGATATCAGTGATAGTTTCACAAGTCTCTAATTATACTAAAAAAATCTAATTGTATTGTGAATGTAAATTTATTCACACTTTATCTGGGCGAATTGTATTGGAATGTAAATTATATTTCATTAAATCTGTTTAAAAGTTCATGTAAATGTTATTTATTATTAACTACTAGTGGCCTAGTGCATGGATTCATGCACATAGAAAGGAAATTAATTAGAATTCTTGGGGTGGCACTGGGGCACTAGGGTGTCTGCGGAGTGAGGGCGGAGGGGTTTCCTCTGGCAGGTGAAAGTCCCTCGGCCTGGCCTGTGGGGATTTGGTTAAAACCAGCTCTCTGACATCCTAAGAACCGCCACTGCCAAGTCACCATAACTCAGCAACTCTTGCTTTGAGCATCTGCCTCTTGATGGTCAGTGCACATCATAGGTACTGGCCAGTCGGATGGTCGGATGGTCACTTAACCTTTTATATATAGATATTTAGAAGACACTTTATTGGTGCACCTTACATTTTATTTAATGACATAAATTGAAATTAGAAAAGTACCATATCTTCTGAAGTTTTTTCATAGTACTTTTATAGTTAGCAAAAGCAAAGCTAGGGCTTATTCTATGCCTTTCTTGGTATTTTGTGTTACATAAGGTGTGTCCTAATTTTTGTGTGTGCTGATATCTTATAGAAAAAGCCACAAATGAGTACAACACTACAGAAGATTGGAGTCTTATTATGGACATATGTGACAAAGTTGGAAGCACTCCTAATGGGTAAGATGCCCACCATACTCAGTAAATGTCTAAGAACTGTATTTCTTTTCTTGGTGTAACTTTGAAAAGAAAATGGGATTTTACTATTTACTTTGGGAGGAATAAAAATAAAAAGATCAAGGAAGCAGGATTTATGAGATAGGCCTTATCCTTAAAGAACAAATGGAAAAGAGTTCAACTGAAAACCTAGATAAATTAAAATACATAAATCCTTGACACAGTATTGGTATTTTTGGTTCAATAAATTGAGGTTCAAAAAGGGAAATTTTGCAGGAAATAACTACATTTTAAAATGTAAATAGGCACTTATCAAGTACTCATCTAGGCTAGAAACATATTAACAATGCATTGACTAGTTCAGGAATTTCTCTCGTACCTTAGACATGTATGGGAGTCTTTTAATAATGAAGTAGATAAATGTAATAGGTAATATGCTGAAAAATCTTTCAATAATGAATAGGTAAATAATATCATAATGAAAAAAGTGAATATAAAAAGGGTACTTTTGGGGAGATGTAGCAATTAAGCTGAACTGATTATACTTTAGAAGTTTAGAAGACTGATGAAAGCATGTTTTAACATTACAGCTTTTCAGGGTGCATTCATGCATGTTTACACTGAAATTTTATAAGACTGATTATCTTGCTCTTTTGAAAATAAGAATCTGCTGTCTGAAAGCTAAATTTGTCTTGAACAAATGAAAATATATTTTTATATGATAATAGTTCTCTTATGTTGACTGACCTTTTTTGAAATGATTTGCTTTTGGTTTTGTGCTTTTTAAATTTTTTATTTTTTTAACTTCTACAAGTCTGTGAACAAAAGATTGGATAGAGTTGTTTTTTAAAATATATTTTATTGATTTTTCAAAGAGAGGAAAGGAGAGAGATAGAGAGCCAGAAACGTCGATGAGAGAGAAACATCGACCAGCTGCCTCCTGCACACCCCCTAGCGGGGATGTGCCTGCAACCAATGTACATGCCCTTGACCGGAATCGAACCCGGGACCTTTCAGTCCGCAGACCGACACTCTACCACTGAGCCAAACCAGCTTCGGCTGGATAGAGTTGTTTTTTAGATTTATTCCTGTAATGAAGTAAGGTTTGCAGGATTTTATTTTTAAATTTAAAGTTATTTGGGAGTAGTATACCTCATGTTTTTAATGTTTGATTTGAAATTCTGAATAAATACTTAACATTCTCCATTTTTTTCTTAGAGCAAAAGATTGCCTAAAAGCCATAATGAAAAGAGTAAATCATAAGGTTCCTCATGTTGCTCTGCAGGCATTAACTGTAAGTAAAAGTCATTATTATTTTATCGAAATTTTAAATGTATATTTATTTTAGTGAGTTAAGATAATATCTCAACATATTTATATTGATTTTTATTTTAATAACAGCTTCTTGAGGCTTGTGTGGCAAACTGTGGAAAGATATTTCATTTAGAAGTATGTTCCCGTGATTTTGCAACAGAAGTACGTGCTGTGATAAAAAATAAGGTAAATTTTAAAGAGATTTAATGTATTAAAATATGTATGTACTCTGTCATTTTAACTGTGTAAGCATTAATAAAGTTGTATTATACATAAAATCAATTTTAGGTAAATTTAAAATGAAATAAGCTTTCTGTTCTAAAATTTGATGTTTTTACTTGTAGCACAAAAAACTGTTTTCTTTCCCAAAGCGTAATGTTAACGATAGTAGCTAGTCTTTACCGATGGTTAGTTGGCAGTCGCTGCTTTAAGCATTTTACTTGTTTAATGCTGTTGACACATTTAGAAGTTAGCTTCTCTTGTCATTCTTATTTTATAGATGCAGAAACTGAGCTTTAGAAGTTAAGTAACTTGTCCAAGGTCCTGCCAGCTAGTAAGTAGCGTAGCTGAGGTTCAGATTAAGGTTTCTGTTACCAGAGTATCCAGACGAACCACCATACTGATTCCCATTAGAGATGGAGAGCAAAGGAGGCTTTTAGTTTAGAGCAGTTTGGAGGGGGTCTTCATGTCACCGTTGGTATTACTGATTTCTTTGAAATGGAAACTCTTGAAGCACCAGGTTTTTGTTTGGTTGACATAAAAATCTTAATATTAGAATATAATAGAATCAGGGGCAAAGAAAGGGAGTGGATTGGTAACTATCAGGGTGGGGAAGGGTGTGGGGAGTGCAGGAAGAGGACTAAAATCTTACAACTATGGATGAGGACAATGCTGGGGAGCTGGAGGGAGGGTATGGGCAGAGGGTGGGGTGAGAACCGGGTGGAAGGGAGTTATGGGGGAGAAAAGGAGAAACAATTGTAATCTGAGCAATAAAGATTTATTAAATTAAAAAAAAAAGAAAACATAGAAGAAGTGATCTCTGAATATAAAAGATTTTTTGTCATTACAATAAGTCTTAGAAATTGAGGTTCAAAAAGGGTAATTTTGCAGGAAATAACTACATCTTAAAATGTGAACATTTATCAAGTACTCATTTAGGCTGGGGATTGTTGGGCTTTTGTTGATGTCAAGCAAATAAAATTTTGGTGATAATTCTCTTTGTTGTTAAATAATTCAAGTACTAATTTTAACCACAATTGCTTTTTCTTTGTCTTTTCTTTAAAGGCTCATCCTAAAGTATGTGAAAAATTGAAATCTTTAATGGTGGAGTGGTCAGAAGAATTTCAAAAGGACCCTCAGTTTAGTCTAATATCTGCAACTATTAAATCTATGAAAGAAGAAGGAATTACTTTTCCTCCAACAGGATCTCAGGTAAGAGCTACATTCAAACCCATGGTTGACCCTATGCTATTTTGAGGGTAAGTATCTTATGCAAAATCTGGGCAAGGTCTGTTTTAATCATCACCCACCTCCACTCTGAGTGCCTATCCAGCATAGTGCCTTACTCTTAGTAGGTATTCTAATTTTAGTGAATTTCTTCTACATAATAGAACTTTGAGAAGTGACTTAACCATAAATAATTGTTTAACACTACTCTGGAGTCATGTAAAAGGCATAGATATATGAGAGAGAAGAGTAGCTTTGTAAAAGTGAAAGATAACTAAATTATAAGTGACAGACATACATTAGGGGTACAAAGACCATATGCCAGGAGAGACAGGTAACTTATAGATTGAGCTATAAAGGTGAAGAGGTAAGATTTTTAGACTGCAATGTATTCAAGAGGTACTGGGGTGGGGGGTATGGCCTGAGGTTCCCTGTCAAGCCCCATCAGGAGGGAGCGCAGCCTCAGGTCCCCTGCCCCGGCCCAGTGCCAGGCAACCTCAGATCCCTGCTGATTGCTCGTTAAGAGAACTTGGCCTCCACTGTGAGTGCAACCATCTTGTGTTATGGGATCCCTGCCTCTGCCGTGGGTGCAGCCATTTGTTACAGTGTAATGGTCAATTAGCATATTCTCTCTTTATTAGATAGGATTAGTATGTGTGAGTAATTATAGGCCTTGTGTTTTCTTAGAAGGGTAGTTGTATTTATTTTAGTTGTACATTTACAGACTGTCTCAGCGGCTGTCAAGAATGGCATGTCATCAAACAAAAATAAAGAAGATGAAGACATAGCTAAAGGTAAACCATCAAAGTATAATTTGATGTTACTGGAAACATCCTGGCCAGGATGTTTGAAATAAATATTGTAATAAAACTGGGTTTACTTTTAGTATTTTCAAATGTAGACACTAATAGAGTCTGAAAAGTAAGGAAAACAATTGATGTGATAATAAGATTAACTTAATTCATTATCTTTGTCAGTAATATGCATTTCATGTCCTGCCTTTGGAGAGCTTACATTTCACCTTTTCTTTAATGCCAGAGTTAGGAGTCAAGCACAGAAATATATGTTCATGGCTTGTCCTATATGGAAAGCTACCCATTTTATAATGTCACAATCTGTTCACTATAAAAATAATAGCTGCTGTATATGACAGACTGTTATAATCAGGAATAGGCAAAACCTTTATTTTAAAAAATGTCATGATTCTCTGCCCCTCAAAAAAGTTAACTGCTTAGTGTTTAAACAAATAAAATACTGACTTGCTTTATTCTTACTAAGTATTACATTATCTGATATTTCTTTTTAAATTTTGAAAACTCAGAACTAAATCTGGCTACCTTCCTTTTGCATTTTAATTTTTCAAACTAGCTATTGAATTATCATTGCAAGAGCAGAAGCAGCAGCACCCGGAAACAAAATCCTTATATCCATCTGTAGAAGTTCAGTTAAATAATAAAGTTGCAAGGAAAGTGAGAGCTTTATATGACTTTGAAGCTGTTGAGGACAACGAACTCACCTTTAAACATGGTGAAATTATTATTGTTTTGGATGACAGGTATGTTTTCAATCATTATTTCTGGGATATTTTGAAGTTCAGGATCATATCCTTAATTTAGAACCCTGGATACTCAGTTCTTTGACTTCAGTATATCATAGGACTGTTGATATCTTAATTGTTTTTCCTAAAATAAAACTTAAAAAAGTTAGACGAGGTAATATTAATTTCTTATTTTGTTAAATTTGGTTTTACTTTAGATCTTGCATAAAAGATGTATTAAATGAGTATTGCAATTGGGAAACACAAATATTCAGTTATCTGAATGCATTTACATTGGGGATTTTATATACAAAAATTACTGGTAAATCAACTTTAGAAAGATATATAGCTAGCTATATTACCTTTGGTCAAAGCACCCGAAAGCTATGCTCAGCTCCTCCCTAATTCTTAAAATGAGGACATAGTTCTATCTTCTAAAACCTAGAATAAAGTAAGGGAGTCAGAATTATATACAGATCTGGCTGGTGTGGGTCAGTGATTGAGAGTAGATCCATGAACCAAAAGGTTACAGGTTCTGTTCCCAGTCAGGGCACATGCCCAGGTTGTGGCCCAATCCCCAGTAGATGCCTTGTAGGAGGCAGCTGATAGATGTTCTTCTCTCTGTGATGTTTCTCTCTCTCTTTCTCTATCTCTAAAACAAATAAAAAACATTTTATTTTATATATTTTTTGATTTCAGAAAGGAAGGGAGAAGGAGAGATAGAAACATCAGCAATGAGAGAGAATCATTGATCGGCTGTCTCTGCACACTCCACACTGGGAACCAAACCCCAAGTCTGGGCATGTGCCCTGACCCAGAATTGACAATGACCTCCCTGTTCATAGGTCAGTGCTCAACCACTGAGCCATGCCAGCCAGGCATAAACAGAAAATATTTTAAAACCTAACTAAATAAAATTACTATGCAGGTAATTGTATGGAATACAGAATATGAAGACCATAAAAGAGACAGTGTTGGGGTCCAGAAGAGAACAGATTTGCATGTTTTATAATAATCTGGGAAATAAGACTTATCCAGGGTCTATTTCAGGTGAACTTTGATTTTGAAAGGACAGAAAAAAAACAAAAAAACAACAACCCTGCAATAACTGAAAATAGGAAAACAAAGGTCTCAGGCAGTCAAGATAACACTGTGTTCACAGAAGCTTTTTCCTTTTTTAAAAATAACCCTTTGGAATTGAGCATATGATCCCTGAAGGAGAGTAAAGGAGATGTGAAGCTGAAGATGTGGGCTCTGAACAGTGACAGTCCAAAAGGTCAAGCTTCTGAGTGTAGTTTTAGTGAGAATATTTACAAAAGAACATAGGTTTATACTTCTGATACTCTTATCCTATATAATAAAAGCCTAATATGCTAAGTGTCTGAATGTCCGGTTGGCCATTCAACCAATCAAACCATCATATGCTAATGATATGCTAAAGGCCACTCAACTGCTCGCTATGACATGCATTGACCATAAGAGGTAGTCACTCCAACCAGTCGGTGAGCTTACTGCTAGGGTCTGGCTGATTGGTACTGAGCTAGATGGGCTGGATATACCCTGAGCCCTCCCACAATCCCTCCCCAGCTGGCTAACCTCCCAAGTTCATCCCCAACTCTGATCATGCATCGGTAGGGTCCCTTGGTCTGGCCTGAGCCCTCTCGCAATCTGGGACCCCTTGGGGGATGTCAGAGAGCCGGTTTCACCCCAATCCCATAGGCTTGGCTGAGGGAACCCATGGTGCACAAATTTGTGCATCAGGCCTCTAGTGTAATTATAAAGACATAAAATAAAAACAAATTTAAAAAAAGAGTAGTTTTTATTCTGAGATTCAAGTTTTGAGCATTACTTTTATGTCATAAAATTTTTCTAAAATAAATTGCTGCTCACAAGGTAGGTAATCTCCAGAACGTCTGTATTACCTTGTGCTGTTATAGCCGAATCACTGAGTTTTTCTTTCGTAACTGTGTGAATTCTTCATAAATTGGTATTTATGACCTATGACTAGAGGCCCTGTGACAAAATTTGTGTGCGGGAGGTGTTCCCTCAGTCTAGCCTGCACCCTCTCCAATCCAGGACCCCTAGGGGCATATCCTACTCCAGTTTAGGCCTGAACCTTAGCACTGCTGGCTCCTAATCACTCACCTGCCTGGTTGCCCTTAACTGCCCTCCGTCTGGCCTGATCACCTCTACCCACCTCTGTGTGCCAGCCTGATTGGCCCTAATTAGCCCCCCTGTTGGCCTGGTCACCCCCAACTGCCCTCCTGTTGGCCTACTTGCCCCTCGCTGTCCCTCCTGCTGGCCTAATAGCTCCCCACCCCCACTGGTCTGGTTGCCCCCAACTAACCCCCCCTCCCCCACTGGTCTGGTCATCCCACACAGCCTGCTTGTTCAGTCGTTTGATCATCCCTCACCCTGATGGCCTGTTTGTAGGCAGCCTCTTGTGAGACTGTGATGGTCAATTTGCATATTACCTCTTTATCATATAGGATAGCCTATAAGCTTGCACTGAGTAAAAGGTAATGTTATTATGCTGCACATGTTATTTTTACTGATGTCTGATTAAAGCACAGATTCATTAAGTTTTTTAGACTCTTACAAAACTATTTTCAGTTGAGACTTATCACTGTAAAAAGAGCTTTTTTTTTTTTTTTTTTTTTGTAACTGTTAAGAGAATTCACATGGATATGGTGGAATGTGTAAGCTGATTGCCCTTGTTTTGAAGATAGGATATTCCAGTCTAAAAATTGCCATAGACATATTCATCAGCATGTATAGGTTAAATGTTGTCATTCTGGGTGATTGGTTATCACTGCAAGATTTTAAACAAAGGCAAAGTAAAGTTAAGTGGTATTCTTAGGTTAAAAGCAGGTCATCTAGAATCTAGATTATAGATGATTCAGAATATGACTGTATTCCTTGTATTTATATTGCTATGGAAATAAAGCATACAATAAAGAATTTCACATGTAGAACTTGAAAAAGTCCCTTGAAAATACAGCATTCTTGGACTTCAGTTGAAAAACACAGAACTGATACAAAAGGCACACATTTCTTATTAACAGTATATGGAAAAGCTTTTTTATATATATATTTTATTGATTTTTTTACAGAGAGGAAGAGAGAGAGACAGAGAGTTAGAAATATCAATGAGAGAGAATCATTGATCAGCTGCCTCTTGCACACCCCCTACTGGGGATGTGCCCGCAACCAAGATACATGCCCTTGACCGGAATTGAACCTTGGACCTTTCAGTCTGCAAGCCGACACTCTATCCACTGAGCCAAACCAGTTTTGGCTGAAAAAGCTTTTTGCTTTTTCCATTTTTAGCTTTATCTCACCACTCCTTGTTTGTTCTGTATATACCATTTAAAATAATTAAGTGGAATTTTTACAGTTCCAAAATTGCCATGTTGTGATTAGACTTTTGTGGCATTGTGCATTTAGTTCTCTCTGCCTGGAAAGCCATGTCAAAGGAAGCAAGCACATTTAGTGGGGGGAAAAGGAACTTTACTTGCAAGGAAGGTTTTCAAGGGAGTCCAGGCTTTAGAAAGATTGTTCCCAATTTAAAAAGTAAAACAGGTTATTTTAAGACCCTCACAAGCTTACTAAGTTTCCAGGTTTACTATTTGTGTATTTATGGCAGAAATAGCACTTTTCTCACATGATTATCATATCCACAAAAAGCATCATTTATCTTCAGCCATTGTTGTTGTAAAAAGTATAAGAGAGTCCTTTTTCTGCCAGTTTTCAAGGCATATTAATAAGCTATAGCAAATAAATTGTTTAGTTAGGAAGTCAGTAGCTTAAAGGAGAGGCTAGGTTTTAGGTTTATTTTGAGACCTAAAATGAGACAAAATGACTTTGTTTACCTTAGAGTATTTTATTTGTTTGGTCTTTAATTTTGTTGCTTAACCAAAATGGAGAAGGGCTTTTATATTTCCTCAGCCCTCATTTCCTTTTCCTTCTGGTGAGTGCGTAGTGAACCTTCAAAACCCATATCAGATTTTCTATCCTCTGGAAAGCCTTTAACTCCTCCCTTGCCTCGACCTGTGAATTAAGAGTTCCATTTTGGTTCCACCAGCATGTGAATTATGACTTAGTAAATTTTCTTTGTTGTACTTTTTAAATGAAATAAAGTTTCAGAATCATAGAAGTTAATTTATCCTTAAGTTTCATCTTTAAGAATGCCTGCTCAATAAGTCAAATTTTTGAAAAGGAATAGATAAACACCATTATTTCCAGATTTTATTATTGTCCATATAGAATGTCTAACAGAATTAGTGGACAAACTATTAAAACTGATAAGAGTTTATCAAGGTTGTTGAATACAAGCTTAACATGTAAAATCAGTGATATGTTTTATTATAATCACAACTATTTAGAAAGTATAATAGAAAAAAATGCCACTCAACAGTAACAAAAATTATAATGATCTTGGAATTAATAAATCTAACAAAGATATATAAGGTCTTCATGGAGAAAATTATATAAAGTTATTTTAAGGAAATATAAATACATATATTTACTAGATTCATGGTGAGGAAACCTTAATGTTATAGATTTCATTTTCCCCATATGAATGCATAAATTCAGTGCATTTCCAATTAAAATTCCAACAGAACTTTTTATAGAGAACTTGAAACATTTTAATATTACAAAATGTGAAGGTATGAGTGGGTCCTTTTCTTCCCAGGTACCAATGCATATTAATAAGAAGTAATAAATAAATATAGACTATTGCAACAGAATAGAATCAAGTAATAGGTTCATGAACGATAGGATATAAATCAGTAAAAAAGTATATTTTTCAGTAAGTTTTGCTGGTGTGAATGGTTCTTTACATGATACAAATAAAATTTGATTCAGCTTCACATTGTACATAAAATTTCATTTCAGATGAATTAAAGAGAGGGATAAAAATAAAACTATTAAGTACAAGTATATAGAAGAGATTTAGGAACTTAAGGATAAAGATTTCTTTCAAATAAAAGTAATCCATAAAAAATTTTTAAATTTGATAACATGGAACAAAAAGCACAGTGAATAAAAGAAACCATACTAGTACACATTTGTTAATAGACAAATGAGAGTTTGAGAGAAGGTATTTTTATAATGAAGTTCAGACAAACTAGCTATCCAGAATACAGAAAGAACACATCCATGAAAAAAATACGAAAGACCCACTGGGGGCAAAAATGGACAGGAATGAGCAGTTTCTAGACGAGATTCTCTGAAAGGCCAGCAAGCACACATGGATACTGGGAAATGCAGATGAGCACAGCAGATCTGATTTCTCTCCTGAATATCTTGTTACTTGGACAATTAATGTGCAGGAGGGGAAATGACTTTCTCACATGCTGCTTGGTGAGAGAGGGTGAATTGCCATAACCCCTTTAGGAAACTTTTGGCACTATCTAATACAATGGGAAATGCTTATATCTACTAGAGGCCTCGTGCACGAAATTCATCCCTCGGGCCAGCCTGTGCCTTTGGGGGATGTTCGACTGCCAGTTTAGGGGATTGGGCCTAAACAAGCAGTCAGACATCCCTCTCACAACCCAGGATGCTGCATGCACCAGTGACCATACTTTTAATAGAGGTGAAAGGCATCTTGCTGTTGTGTGGGCATCTACATTTTTTTGCCCTGGTTATAAAAAGTAGTACATAACATGATCTTTCTGAGGCGGTGGTACCATTTTCCCCATCTTATGGGTGAAAAACTGAAGCAGAGAGAAGTTAAGTAATTGGCTTTGTCACACAGATATAAGTGTCAGAATTAGGGCTGACCACAAAATAATGCAAGCCAGAGTCCATGCATGTCATCGCTGCATCATCCTGTTGTTTCAGTGTTAGAGTAGCCTTCCCAGGTTTTAATTTTTAGATCTGAGACTGTTCCCAATATATAAGGTAGGGTCTCTAGGCCTGGCCGGTGATCAGGGCCATCTATAGGGTGACTTGCGGCGATCTGGGGGTTCCTGCTGGCACCTGTCTTGGCTACTGGCCTGGTGCCACCCACTGGCTGGCTCCACCCTCTAATTGCCGCCACTGGTCGCCTACCTCTGGGGGGTGGGGCAGACGCGGCGCAGATGCTCAAAGCATCTGCATTGAGCGTCTGCCCCCTGGTGGTCAGTGCATGTCATATTTGTTCTGCCATTCTGTCAATTTGCATATTAGGGTTTTACTATATAGGATGGCCCAACAAGTCCATGTTTGTGCATAAGCCTAGAGAGAAGTGTTGCAGGTGTGTCCCCAAATCTAGAGTGATCATTGCCTCAATCTTTATAGTGGTGTAATATTGGAATTCCTTAATTTCTATCTGTAAGGGAATGGATAAATAAAATCTGCCATATTCGTATGATAGAACTTTGATTTAAAAAAGATAAATATCTGAAAACTGAAAGTATTAACATATAATTGAAAAGATCTATAACTATATAGAAGTGGCTTAAAGGTATTTGTAATTGAAAAAAAAACACATACAAGAAGGCTACATACCAACTTTATGGTGGTAGTGTGGTAGGATAGGTGTGGGTTGTTGATAAAGGGGGTTTCAGTGATATCTATAATCTTTTCATTATTTTAAAAGCCTAGAATTATATGTGAACAATTGCTAATTCTAAATCTAAGTATGAGAATATGGACTTGTTTTATTTGTGCTTTTTTTATATCTTTTATTAAATTTAAGACTTACTTTTAAATATATTTGGATGTGAACTAGTATTTTTCAAAGCAAGCCAAATTTAATTTTTAATATAATTCATCTTGATAAAAATGCACTGAAATGTATAGGAACAAATGACATTTTTGTACTGTATTTTTAGTGATGCCAATTGGTGGAAAGGAGAAAATCATAGAGGAATAGGACTCTTCCCATCTAATTTTGTAACAAGTAATTTAAACATGGAGTTGGAGGCAGGTAAGTTAAATCTTGGAGAAGGTTAAATTGATTCAAGTTTTTTTCATTTGAATTTTATGCTTCAATTTTGAATATAAAGTAAATTGGCATTTAACTCTTGTTTTAAAACATTTATAGGCAATACAATTTAACCTACTTGTTAACATTTTTAAGGGGTTAACTCATCCATGTCAATTCCAAGGATTATTTCTTTGTCATGGTGTTTTAAATCTGTTGAGAGTTAGGATACATAGTGACATATAAGGCCTAAAATAATTTGTGACCAAGTAACTATTTAAATCAACCTATTTAGATTTAAAAGGCAGTTTGTGTCAGTTCAATACAAAGGATACTTGTTTTATTCATCATTGAACCACAATATTGAAGGAGGGGCAGTGGGGTTAGGGTCAGTTTACAGGTGCCAACTGTGGTTACAGGGGTTAGAAGAGGCTTCTCCCCACCTTGATTTTGTTCTAGGACCGTCCAGATAATAATAATGTTGTCAAGAGAGTAGGTTTCCTTCAGCTGCTGTCAACCTTGCAGAGTAAGCTTCTATTTGTGATGTAGGCAAGGAGGTGAGGGGAGCTGAGTGTAAAGTACAGCTAATAATAATACTAATGATGGTGGTGATCATAACTAAAAGAGCTCAAGGGGGTTTGAGCAATCATGTATCAGGCATTTTGCTAAGTCCTTTGCTTACACTATTTTATTTAATCCTCACAAGTCTGTGAGATGGGTAGTTTTGTTAATCCATTTTATAGATAAGGAAACTGAGGCTGAAGGCTTATGTGGCTAGAAGATGATAGAGCTGAGATTCTAAAGTCAGCCAGTCTATCCTTATACAGATTCATTAAAGGATGTGTTGGTGCTAATCCTTACCAAATTCTAGAGCTCTTAAATTGAAAGCTCTGTGCATTGTATATAACAACAAATTCAACCTTTTGCATCTTGTGGCACACAAACTACTAAAATTCTTACGGCACACTGATTGAAAATTGCTGCTGTATAACATCCTTTTTGTATGGTAGAGTATTGCATTTAGTTAAAATGAAGTTGAGGGAGATGAATACTCATTTGAATGCTAAGTACTTTGCTACTATACTTTTTATACCTTTGGTCTGACTGTAAATTGATATGAAAATTAGAGCTACCATTTTAGAATCATGCCCATGGGATTCGATACAGCAATTTCTCCTTGGCATAGGCTGGATTGAGATGCAGTTTTAAAAGTAAAAAATACTCTGGGTTTTCATTATATTTTTACTAGAGGCCCGGTACACAAAATTCATACACGGAGGGGGAGGTGTCTCTAAGCCAGGCCTGTGCCCTCTCACAATCTAGGACCCCTCGCTCCTAACCACCCGCCTGCTTGCCTCCTTACTGCCCGCCTGCTTGCTCCTTACCACTTGACTTGCTGCTGCTAGCACTGCCGTGGAGGCAGGAGAGGCTCCCACCACCGCCGCTGCGCTTGCCAGTGTAGCCCGGTTTCTGGGTGAGCTGTGTTCCTGCAGCTCCTGCTGCAGGGGCAGCTCCTGCATTAAGTGTCCGCCCCCTGGTGGTTAGTGTGCATCATAGCAACCAGTTGTTCTGGTTGTTCTGCCATAATGGTTGCTGGGCTTTTATATAGATAATATATTATAGCAATATTCAATTAACATTTAAATAATTTGAGGGTATATGTATAAATTAGAGGCCTGGTGCACGAAGATTCGTGCAAGAATGGGCGGGCCTTCCTTCCCCTGGCTGCCGCTCTGCCGCCTTTCACTCCAGCCCGGAGTCGCCTTTCTGCCTTCCTATGCTACCCAGAGGCCTGGAGCAGCTGGGGCTGTATGGAACGCCTGCATTGTCGCCATGGCAACGACACAAGTGTCCTGCCCCACCCCCAGCCACTTTGTGCCTGTAAATGCAAATTAACCCATCATCTTTGTTGGATTATTTTGCATACTCGCTCCTGATTGGCTGGTGGGCATTGCGAAGGTATGGTCAATTTGCATCTTACTCTTTTATTAGTGTAGATTTTTCAACCTTCTTGCTATGAGAGGTTTTTTTTGTTTTGTGTTGCTTTATCCATTATAAAAGTTACATTGCCATCAAGTCTATTTTTGTTTATATAGGAAATACTTTTTTTAATAGCAAGGGATTAATGTAGAAAGAGCTTATAGATTTAACTGAAATTAGCTAACTAGATGATATAGTCAAACCTCAGTTCTTGAATGTCTCCCATTTTGAATAGTTTGCTTCTCAACCTGACAACCCTTTCATGCTCATGATACCTATATGATTAGTCAAGTGTCTCTCAGGTGACAAAGAAGAGAATGAGCAAGTATGAGTCAGTTTATTGCTAAACCTCATGTTGTTACGATCTCAGAAAATTGTGCTGTGAATATTTTCGTCTTTTTTTTTTTTTTTTTGCTTTTATTGCTTCTTATTATTAAACTTTATTTTTTTTACAGTACATTTCACTTCCTTTTTGTTAAATTTTCATTTACATTTTATGTCCTTTTTATTTTCAAAGTGTTTATTGATTAAACAGTACATTAGACATATATATAAAAGAAAGGTTAAAACAGGGAATCATTTAAGGGTCTGGGATGGATTAATTCATTTTACCTTATTTCTAATGGGGAAAAATGATTTCGTTTTTGATCAGCCTTCCAGAAATGAATACTCTACTCTTCTAAATTTATTCATTCCTGTAATGAGTAATACTCATTTTCCTGAAAATGCTTGTCATGACCATTCCCATTAATGTTGTTTGTTTATTCCACTAGAATGAAGTGCCATCAGGGCAGGTATTCTTGTCTGTTTCACTCACTGGTGTATTTCCAATGCCTGCACATAATAAGACTAAATATTTGTGGCATCAATACTTGAACATATGTAATAACGTATGAGATGCAATGACTGTACTATTTAAAGGTTTTCCTTTTTTTTTCTTTTTGATAATTAGACTGCTTAGAAACAAATGACTAAAATACCATAGTAAATGTTGAGGAACTTAAAGTTTACTTTGTTTTCATAGCAGCTGTGGACAAATTGAATGTAATTGATGATGAAGAGGAAGAAATTAAGATATCAGAGCCTGAGCCTGTTTATATAGATGAGGTAGAACCCTTCTTTTGTTTAATAGTTACATTATCAAGACTTTTAAAATGCATTGCCCTTGAAAATGCTTGGAAAGAGTAATTTCTGTGTTCATTGAAATGAAAACTAGTGAGTTTTTGAAGTATCCTATTATTTTTTAGGATAAGATGGATAGAGCACTGCAGGTACTCCAGAGTATAGATCCAACTGATTCCAAACCAGACTCCCAGGACCTCTTGGACTTAGAAGGTACTTAGTGAATATTAGGGATTACTTTATTGTCCTTTAATGTTTTTGTGGTTTATAATAAGTTTCTTCTGCCTTGTGTTTGCTTGTAGGGATTAGAAATCTGTGGCAGAAACAGAATAGTATAGTTATACAGTAAACATATTATGTCGAGATTGTTGTTATAAACCTGCCTATCCTCTTCCAGAAGAAAGTCTTTGTATTTCTGTAAGCCCACTTAATGAAATTGGCTGAAGAGATTTGCAGTCTAAAAAAGGACAGAATAAGAAATAACAGCCTATTAATAATTTAATTGAGTCGAAATATTAGAAATTCTTATTCCTGTTTTTATTGTCTTCTATAATTTCAAAGTTAAAAATTATACATGATCTGTGTTAACTTTGTAGTATAGTTATTTGATGCAATATAGTCACTGATGTCTTTATAGTCCTTAAGAAAATGAAACAATTAAAACAAATGTTCTTATGCCTTTTTAAAAAGTTCTTTGGGAGAAAAATCTGTGGTAAGTGATAAATCTTAAATCTTTCAATAAAGAAAGTCTAGTTATGACTATAAATATTGTGGTCATTATATCAGTGTTTCATTTGGAAATACATGTGTTTAATTTTGAAATGGCTTAAATAAATGAAAAATGTTCATAATTACATATTTTATACATTAACTCAAGTTTATTTTACTTAGCTAATGATAGTTTCCTAGGTATTTTTAAGATTTGCAATAACTCCAAATTTCACAGTCTGTAAAACTTAATACTTTTAGAGAACATAGTAGAATTTCTGGGGGGTTTTTTTTGTTTGTTTGTTTTTTTGTTTTTGTTTTTAAATTTGCCTTTGGTCACATATTAATATTGGTGCTGAATAGTATTAAAATTAAGTCTTTTATAGTCCTTTATTTAGCATTCTCTTTGTACTATGCATGGTGTTGCATAGTGGTGCTCTGTTGTTAAACATTGTTTAAATTTATTTAAACTGGTTTAAATTTAAAGATTTTAAAATTCGTTTATATTTACAGGTATCTGCCAACAGATGGGTCCAATGATAGATGAAAAACTTGAAGAGATTGATAGGTGAGATTCTTTATGGTCAATCTGGTCAGTCTATTGAAATTACTTCTCAGTTTCTCAAACCCTTACCAACAAGTAGTAAAGTGCTACTTTTTATTTTGGTAAAAAAAAAAATTTTTCATGGCAATAGAGTATGTGTAGAAACATGGACTCTTGCTCTTATGGTGCCAGTCTTCATTTTCTTCCTTGGGCGGGAATTGCAGGATAATAAATAATGAAGAATAAATTTGTATAGAGTACAAAATCAGAACAGGGATTTTAGACAACCATTGTCTTGTTATGTGATGAGAATTAGTATTTGTAAAACTTTCAAATGAAATTTTTCTTTTATTTGTGAAGCTTATAAATCCAATGAACATACCTTCTCTTATTTTGCTTCCTTGTATTTCTGTTGTGCTTTTAGGTTCATTTTCCCACCTAGTCTTATCCTTAGAAATAGCAGCAGCACTGAAAGATAAGCTATCAGGGTATTGATCTTTTTATTTATTTTTAGCCCCTTCTATTCCTCAGAGCTTTCTATCTGAGGGAGAAGTAATAGTGAAGGAAAGACAAGGATAATAAGGCGTTAGTGTTTCATAGTTATCCCTTTTTAGATTCTGTTCATTTGACTGCTATATAAAGCAGTAGTCTCTGTTCTACTTTACTTACTGCCTTTACCAGAAAAGGGTAGTAGCAGCAAGTTTTTCTAGTCACTGGAGATTATAGTCTTTATTCCATCAGACTTTTTAATATATTCTTTGTAATTTCTACAGAAATGAAAAATATATCCCTGTTGCACTTAATGGAATGATGGTGATAGTCTCATCATATTTTTTTCTTATTTTGAGGAAAGCACTAACTATTTAAGCATCTGCTACTCTGGTTTCAGTGCGGGGATGTTAATGGCCAATGAATGGAAAAGATGCCTGTGGTTAATTCTCAGCCATACTTTTGTTAGCATGGACACTAATTTCTGAAGCTTCCTGTGTGGTTTACAGCTGATACTTCTGAATGTATAACCTACCTCATACTGTCACACATACAAGAGAGGAATCAGCATATTTTGTTTGTTTCAGATATAACATTCTCATAGAGGAAAGGTGACATATCTTGGTAGGTTAGAGGCCAGGTCATTTGTTTGATAGCTCTCTGCCTCTTATATCTCTTAGGCCTCTTGCGTATATATAAAAAAGAGCTACTTTTAATAAACAGGCTTGTTGGATGCCTGAAAAAGTGACCATTTAACTTCTATGAACCTATCAGTTGCAAAGGGAGTTCTTTATTCTTCCCAGTGGAATAGATAGAAGGGTACCAAGTCAAAAGGATTTTCTCTGGAGTTCCTTGGGTAAATTGAAAATACATTCTTTTATTTGGATTTGTTTTTACATAATAAGGTATCTCTTTTCACTCACTTTCTCAAAAGAAATCAAGAGCATTAGAGACTAGTTTATATAAGATAATTTTCATTTTCAGGGGTAATTATTAAATTTTTTTTTTCAGTTGATTCTTTCATGAATATAAGCAAATGGAAATATGCATGATTTTGTTTGTGACTGTGCTTTTATTTCAGTCATATTGTATTTCATAGCAGGCTCTGGGCCTTGCCTGAGATCTTTGTTCTACTAAGATTTCTTTTTTAAAATATATTTTATTGATTTTTTACAGAGAGGAAGGAAGAAGGATAGAGAGTTAGAAACATCAATGAGAGAGAAACATCAATTAGCTGCCTCCTGCACACTCCCTACTGGGGATGTGCCTTCAACCAAGGTACATGCCCTTGACCGGAATCGAACCTAGGACCTTTCAGTCTGCAGGCCAACACTCTATCCACTGAGCCAAGTAGGTTAGGGCTGTACTAAGATTTTTAATTAAAACCTGGCCTTGTCCAAAATTGAGAAATTTTTCTTCTTTGTAATTGAGTTTCCAACAGAAATCTATAACATATGGAACAAAATTCTTCTAGCACCAAAATTATGATTTGATTGCATTTTGTGAGGTATGGAAAGGACTAGTTTTATGAAGTCACATTTGCTAGTTATTATAAGAATTAAATAATTCCTCCTCTTGTTTTCCCTTTGTGAATATTCTTTTATTGTCCAAGGTCGGGCAAAAGTAGGTTTACAGTTTCTTGTATGGAAAATAATATAAGAATAAGTTCTGTGTTTTGCATACTCATAACTATAAACCTACTTTTGCCCCACCTGTATATAAAGAACTATTTAAAATATGAATAGAAAATGTGCTAAATTTGCCACATTGGTGTGGCTCAGGAGGTCATGGTTTGATTTCTGGTCAGGGTACATGCTGGGATTGGGGGCTCGGTCCCCAGCGGGAGGTGGTGCGTAGGGGGCAGTTGATCAATGATTCTCTCTCATCATTGATGTTTTTATTGCTCCCGCTTCCTTTCTTTCTGAAATCAATAAAAATATATATGAAAAAAGAAAATGTGCTACATTTAAAAAATAATTTGTGTTGCTAAATATATGCTTAAAAACTATGAAGAGTATTAAAAGTGCTTTTCTTCTATATCAGGAAGCATTCAGAATTGTCTGAGTTGAATGTAAAAGTCTTAGAAGCTCTGGAACTCTATAACAAATTAGTGAATGAGGCACCAATGTATTCAGTTTATTCCAAGCTCCATCCTCCAGCACATTACCCACCTTCATCAGCGGGAGTTCCAATGCAGGTGAGCATGTTTTTTTAGAATATTTTTTAAAATTAAAAAAATAGTTTAAAAGAAGTTTTAAAGCATGGTATTAAATTTTCTATGGTTCATAAATAAAATTATAAAACTAATTTTTGATAGTAAAAAAATATTGGCTAAATAATTAGTGCTCACCAGGACAAAGTAGATACTGGTATTTCACAAATACATTTTAATTCTCTTTTAACAAAAACTACTAAATATATGAGAGGACTTTTGGTTCTTATGCTTTGTAAATATAAAGCATAAATCTTTAAAGTATATGTAAGTCCTTTTTGTAAGTACAGAGTATAAATCCTTTGATTTTAGGACAATGTATGGCATATCAGAAGTCTTGCACATGAGGTACTGATGCTGTTCCTATTGCTCAAACAGCAGGATTTAATATATCTGTCAAGATTTCTTTGACTTTTGTGATTATTTAAAGACTTAGTAAACAGCTTTTGTTCTCAGATTATGTTTTATGTTTTCTTAGTTCCATGACTTAAATTAGTAAAATTTCATGTGTCATGAGGATATGATGCAGGCTTGTTGATGCAGGTTCAGTAAGCTGTACAGGAACAGCTTCTTTTCTCAGGACTTTACACCTTACATATGCTTCCCAGCTGAAGTGAATACTTATTTATCAGTTTCCAGTATTCTGAAGCCTTTTTCAAATTTCAGCCAGTTAGCGATTAAATTCAGAATGAGCTCTGATGACCAAAATTCATGTTAATTTATGAAAACTTGTATGTAAAGGAGGGTGTAAAGGAGAGACCAAAAAGAGAAGAGAATGTGAGTGCATATGACTTGAGATAACATAATTGTTAAGTAGAAAAAGAATAGTTACTATGGTAACTGTCACATCAAACAAGATGCATTTATCAAACATGCTATGCCTTGAACTTTTAAAAATGATGAAAGAGTCATTGCAATGAAAGTAGAAAGGATTTCTGGGTGCAGAAGACATCTGGAATGTATTCAATATTGCTTCTGTTTTCAGAGCTATTTGCTGCTACTATGAAAATGGAACAAAATAGAAATGTCTACCATTTAAATTATATTATAAGAATTATATTATATCTTATTTGCTTCTTTGTATGTCTGGAAAGGGTTGTCATTCTTATGTCAGGTTTTGTGTTTAGTTGCATACGGTTACAACCTGTACTTTGCTATGCACAACTCAATTACTTAAAAAGTTAGATTTCTATTGCTTTCTTGACTTTTGTCTACACTATACATTAATAACAGCATTTGAAATATTCAAAGTTCCTATTCTAACTTGAAGAAAAGGTTTCGTACTAGGAAAACTTGGTTTGACACACCATTGGTTTTGGTGAGAAACACTAACTGCAGAAGAGGTCCATTCGCAGTCTCAGTCTGTTATCAGTGAGTTGTTACAATTCTGCCAGGGAAGTGAAGGATTGCACTTAATGTATTGATTTGGCATTTCTAGCATTCTAAATTTTCATGTCTGGTTTTTGCTTAAAAGCAGCTTAGTTTAAAACTGGATTGATGATAGCTGCTATATTATATTTGTTAAACATGTACATTGTTTTGAATTCTGTATTTAAAGGACATATGATAGATCCTACCCTTAAGACGTTACTCTGAAAATTAAGTAGGTTACATATAAATAACCAGACACTCAGACCATGTTGCTATTTCCTAAATATACATCTCTTTTATCCACAAATTACTCTTCCCTTTATCCTGTCTTAGAGGCAGGAAGTAAAAGACATATTGCCAGGGAGGACCCTGCCCTGATTCCGGTATTCTTCAACAGAGTCTCCTTCTTCAATACATTCTCCTAAATGTCAGTCTTAGGAAGGAGTTGAATTAAAGTCATCTTGGGATGCAGGTGAAGAAAGTCATCTTTCTGGTGGTTGTCCTTCATGGGAGTATTTAGTTTTCTGTGGCTCTGTAGCAAGACACGTTATGGAGTAATAGGCAACCTGGATGGATTCCAATTTGCTACTTAAAAATGCATCACCTCCTTTCCATTCAAGCCCCTGCATAGTAAAAGAACAACCAAGAAAATAATAAATTCCCTTAGATTGGCACTGTGGTTTGAAAGCTCTCCACTTTCTATATTAGGGCGAATGGATTGGTAAAACCAATAACATTTTTTTTTTCATGTAAGTCTTTAAATATATTGTTAGGTAGTTGTTTGGGAGTTCAGTGAGCCAATTTTTCTCTTTGTTAATAGACATACCCAATTCAATCACATGGTGGAAATTATATGGGTCAAAGCATGCACCAAGTTACTGTTGCCCAAAACTACAGCCTAGGACCAGATCAGATCGGTCCACTGAGATCTCTGCCTCCAAATGTGAATTCTTCAGTGACAACACAGTCTGTTCAGGCTCCGTATTTGAGGTAAGTTTCTGGGAGCTGTGTTCATTTTATAATTGGGTACATTAAATTTTCACAAACTTTCAGAAGGAGAATAAGTAGACCCTTCTCTTTGTAATAATAGTGTCATCTTTTACTGTTGAGATAAAATTATAGAGCTGCCCAATCATAATTTCATGAAGTCAGAATGATGCTGCTCTTAGCTTTGTTACCCACACTGAGATGGTTGCCCATGGCTTATATATTGTCTGGTCCTGGAACAAAATAAAGCTAATTGTCCCCACAGGGACCAAGCCCATGATATACATTAGCATATATATACACCATAGCATGGTGCTGTAATCAGACTAGCAAAGTAGTCCCAGACATATTTATCGGTATGCATACCTAAAATCAGAAAACTGTTATTTTGATTCTTAAAGAAGTGTGTTTGAAACCTGACTGGTTTGCCGTAGTGGACAGAGCATCGGCCTGTAGACTGAAGGGTCCCAGGTTCGATTCCGGTCAAGGGCATGTACCTTGGTTGTGGACACATCCACAGTAGATGGTGTGCAGGGGGCAGCTGATCGATCACTCTCTCTTTCTCTCTCTCATCGATGTTTCTAACTCTCTATCCCTCTCCCTTCCTCTCGGTATAATCAATAAAATATATATTTAAAAAAAAAAAAGTGTTGAGTTGGGAATTTGTGATCTAATTTTTTATAATACTTCTATTCTGAAAATCATATTTAAATCTTGCCTTCTATTAACTTTGCTTAGCCACACAGAATGTGCACTCCATATAGTCATGTGTAGATAATCTATGAAGTGTCTTCCTACTCTTAAATTCCATAAGTATACATTTTAGCTATCTGGAAATTAAATAAATTTGTTCATATTGGTATTCAATTAAAATGCAAAATTTTGTTATCTTGGGTAACACTAAGAATTACAGAGAAGAAACAGGTTGTGTAAACAATCTTCCTATACTGTGAGCAGTGTATTTGGTGTAATTTAAAATTATATATCTTTTAAGATAAATGTGTGTAGTTACAGGAACAAACAGAAGTCCTGTAATTTGATGTCGTTTTTCAACTTAGTTTTCTTTTAATAATGTTAATAAACTATAGGTCAGGATTGTCTTGCAGGTAGATGCAGGGTCCTATGAAGAGTACACCATTCTCTCTGCCTTCATTAATTTTCTGTAGGGATTTAGATTAGACTGACAATCAATCGGGGCAGCTTTGAAAGTGCCCTACCATAGCAGAGAGGAAAGAATGTGAGGAAAACGGGTGGGCTCCTGCGTGCTGGATGAGGAAGGGAGAAAGAACATGGCTGAAGGTGTACTTGAGCGGGGGTTGGTTCTCATTTTAGCTGCCAAGGATTCCGCTGTCAGAAACAGTCTGTAGCTCTCCAAAAGATTTTTAAATGATTTCAGATTAAATGGGCCTTGTTACCTTATATTTTTTTACTTTTTGAGTACTTTCTTCTTACCAAATATAAAAATTACATTTACCAGTTAACTACCACACGTCCAAAATGGAAACCATCCACATACATCATGATATTTTGAAATTAATTAAAAAAATCGTCTGACTCTAGAGTTGAATAAAGGATGTCATCTTCTTATAAGGTGCTTGATTCAATTATTTCTTCATCTGATGCCGTTTATGGGGATTGAATTTTATTTGCACAATATATATTACAACTATAAATTCAATAATAATAATTTTCAATTCTACGGAAATATCAACAAAAGCGAGCGCTGACACAAAAAGCCTCGAAAACACTAAATTTCATTGATGCTCCAAAGACGAAATCTATAAATAAAAAAAAAGAATAAGAATGCACACCGTGTTTACCATTTTAGACATGAAATTCATGAAAACACAAATCTTAAGTGTTGCAGTGTTTATCTCTGGCTCATCTGAGTGGCAGCCCTATATGTTGATATTGGAATTTCTCCCATATGTGTTGGAATATTTACAAATTTAAGTTACCATAGTTTTCTTTACAGATTCAGAGATGTCACTAAACAAGTCTGATTTTAAAATTGGGCGACCAGAGTTGATATGTGAGGTTTGCAGCATAGATGTGTGTGGTGTGTGCGGAAGGTCCACACTTATTTCTTATGGCTACAAAGGGTTAACAGTGTTGGATAGGGAGAGTGAGTAAACCGTAATTGGAATGCAGAGGTAATAAGCTTGAAAAGATAGGAAAGGCATTTTTTATTTTCTCGGGATGATTGGTTTCTGGCCATAACCTAGACTGCAAAGTAAACGGTTTTCTTTTTAAAATCTTGTTTGTAGCCCTGGACAAGACCCTGCTTCCAATCCTGCTTATATGAACCAGAACTCTGCCCTTCCATCAGCTGCTGGCACAGCTGCTTACACGCAGCAGATGGGGATGTCCGTGGACCTGTCTTACCAGAACACTGCGGCCAGTCTGCCCCCGTTGGCAGGCTTCCCCGTGGCAGTCCCAGTGCACACAGTGGCCCAGCAGCAAACAAATTACCACCAGCAGCCTCTTCTTTAGAAACAAGCCTTCTATGTGTATTTGACCATTATGACTTTAATCTGAAAATATTAAGAGGAAAAAAATGTTTTTTCTGAGGATGGACCATGGATAAATAAAGCACAAAACTTATCTTATTCTACTATAATAGGCCATAAAAGGGTTTTTTTCAGTCCAGTTGGTTTGAAGTCAAACTTTTGAACAGAGGCAGCTTCCAGTTTTTGTCTTAATTTCAAATTTCTTTACACAAATCTGGACACCCAATAAATAGCCTTATGACAGTAAACAGCATGATTTGGGATTGTTTTAAGTTTTATAAAGAAACCACCCTTTATCCCTAAAACGTCATGTTAATTGGGAGAGCACCGAAACCTTTAAATGTATTTTGTCTGCAAATTTTTTTCTTCAGTTTCCCACACACCATTATTTTTAAAGGCAAATACCTTATTGTGCAAGCATTCAGCTTGCCAACATATTTCCTTTTGGCACCTTAAATTGCAGTTGTATTTGCAGTACTGTCAGTTTTGCTCTCAGTATTACATTGAGTAATAATTAGCATATCATTGTCTACGGTAGGAAGAGCAATTTGGAAGGAACCAAATGTTTTCTGTTATTAAAAGTGAAGACCATGTAAATGCAGGTGTGTGATAAAGCATTTAGTCTTCCAGTCAGCCAGTTTTGGTCTAAGGAGTGTCCTGGAGAACATTTCTTTTCCTACGAGGGTCCCTGGAATTTAGAATTGCCTCTGTACCGACCTTTTCAAATGACTGGCTGTTCTGGGATGCAGATGTGTGAACAGATGCTGCATTTCCTCTTTACCATGACATGTGAATTTGAGCCATGAGACATTCCTAACAGTTGGATGTGATGGATGCCAAGCATGGATGATACGTGTGTTTTTATTGATATATTGCTGCTTCACAGGTGATTCAAGTACCATTGTTGTGCCAGGCTGTCGAAAAACTGGGCCTTTTCTTTCTGAGTCTGTGGAATAACAGCAGGCAGTGGATTGATAGGGAAACTATCAAGATGGTTTTTCTGAAATCTACATTTTAAATGAGCTATAGTACTAACAGGTTCCACTGTAGGAGTTGGGTAGTGACTCAATAGGAATTGTTTCCTTTCCTAAAAATTCCCACACTACTGCATCATCTACCAGTTTTTTAGATAACACAAAATAGAAAATGCAAATACATATGCCTTCAGGTATATGATATTTAGACTAGGAAAAGCAATAGACATAAGTTTAATTTTTAAAAAGTTAATTGTATGGAAGCAAGATTTCTATATTACTTTTTAAAGAAAGCCCTTAATTATTCTAAGAATCCATATGAAATAGTGCTCTACAAATTTTTATCATTTACTGTTTAAAGAAATTGATTATAAGTATATTCTTTTTTCAAGGAAACAGTATCCTAGAACAACATGGTCTCTATATTACTTGGTCTACCTTTAAAGGGAAAAACAAGCAGTATGTTCTGTTTTTCATCCAGTGTTTCTTTTTCTTCTATGTCAATTATATACTTACAAAAAATTCTAAAATGGCACCTTACCTTTTGGAAGCAAATCTATTTAAAGCATGCAAAACATTAAAAAAAATTTACAAAGCTGCTCTTGATAATAGGTAATGTTTGCATATATATGGAAAATCTTTTTTCTCCCAAACAATATTTAATAAACAGCTATTTTAATATTTGTGTAAATATTTTATGTATAATTGTCATTGGTATTGTAAAAGCCTAATTCTGCAGAAGTTAAACTAGTATAAATATTGCACACCCACTAAATCGAGATTAGCCAATTGAGTAATTTTGGAATAATGTAACATGCAACATGTATATAAATAGTGTATATTGGCACTTATCTGTGAAATTTTATACATTCAGAAGTTTCTTCTCCCTCTTAAAATATTTTTATTTTTGCCATATTGTAATGAAGTTTGTATTGCAGGTTGTTGATAGTATGAAAATGTTATTAAATTGGTGTACTGAGATATTTTTAGTGTTGAGAAATACAGGGTTGTTATTTTTCTTTTCTATGATCTTAGGGGTTGTATTTATTTTAAAACCTGTTTATAATTAAATGTTTTCTGCCAAAGGAACAGTCTAACATCAGATTTCTACATTGGATTCATACTGTTTTGATATAAAAAATAAAAATAACTTCTGCTATTTCACATGAAGTCTTGGTACATCAGGAAGAATTTCTGAAATTAAAATGAAGTTTTCATTAATCTAGAAAACTTTCCCCTGGCTGTTAAAATATATGGAGTGGATATGGTTTTTTGTTGTTAATCCTGACCGAGGATATTCTTTGCATTGATTTTTAGAGAGAGTGGAAGGGAGAGGGAGAGACAGAAACATTGTTTGCTTCCCCCACATTTCCCTGACCTGGGAGGAGGATCGAGCCTATAACCAAGATACGAGCTCTTGACTGGAATCGAACCTGTGGCCCTTCAGTCCGTGGGCTGGCATTCTATCTACAGAACCAATATGGCTAGAGCTGGATATGTTCTTATATGGTGGAAAATGTAGTCTACCAACATTCTTTTAACTTGGTAATTTATAATAAAAGAATATTGTGCAAACTGCCATCATTCCAACACATAAGATGGCTACCCCCGTATGGACACAAGATGGCTACCCCAAGATGGCCAGCAGGGGAGAGCAGTTGGGAGGGACCAGGTCTGCAAGGGAGGGCAGTTGTGGGGGACCCAAGCCTCTAGGGGAGAGCAGTTGGTGGGGAGGAGGACCAGGCCTGCAGGGGAGGGCAGTTAGGGGCAAACAGGCTAGCAGGGGAATGGTTAGGGGGTGATTAGGCTGGCAGGCAGAAGTGGTTAGGGACAATAAGGAAGGCAGGCAGGCGAGCAGCTAGGAGCCAGCAGTCCTGGATTGTAAGAGGGATGTCCAACTGCTGTTTAGGGCCAATCCCTAATCGGGCAGTCAGACATTTCTTGAGGAGTCCCAGATTGGAGAGGGTGCAGGCTGGGCTGAGGGACATCCCTCCCCCGGATGGTCCTCCCCACCTTTGTGCATGTATTTCATGCACCAGGCCTCTAGTTCACTTTTAAAATTACCTGAAATGGTTATAATTATCAGTTATGATTTGAAAGATGTGTACATTGTTATCATATGCAATTTCAAGTAGTTGATTTTTAACCACATAGATTTCACTGTACATTTTGAAGATTAGATGTTTGGTTATAAAATTTCATCTTCCAAATTGTTAAAAAATTAATTTAAAATGTTTAAAAAATTATGGCTTAGGAACTTTTGTAAAAGGTTTTCATAGTATTTGTCAAGGCTCCTGACTTCTAGGAGAGAATTTATTGAATTATTATGATGACAACACTGAAGTTATTGTTGTAAGTAACAAATTATAAAGAATAGAGTACCAATCTATCATGCTTTGTTTCTGTCAAAAGACATTTTCCTTTGCTTACATCAGTTTTAGCCAATAAAGGGAGAACCCAGTTCTAAGGAGGACTTTTAAAAAATTTATTTTGGAGATTAAAAATTTATTTTTTAAACTTCCCCCAGAAGAGTTAATTCTAATATTACCAAGCTAAGTTTGAATTAAATGTTTTAAAAAGCCTTACTGTGTCAAAAAAGAAATTACATTGCTGACATAGTATAATGGGACAAATAGTGTCCCCCCAAAATTCATGTTAACCCAGAATGTCAGAATGTGACCTTATTTGGAAAGTCTTTGTAGTATAATTAGTTAAAGGTTTCTAGGCAACATCATGCATTTAAGTAGATCCTAAATCCAATGACTAATGTCCTTATGGAAAGAGAAGTCACAGAGGCACAGTGAGCAAGGTATGTGAAGATGGAGGCAGAAATTGGAGTTTTGCTGCCAGAATTAAGGACTGCCCACAGCCACTAGAAGTTGGAGGAAGCAAGGAGCCTTCCCCAGAGCCTAGAGGATCTTGGTCCTGCTACATCTTCATTTCTAATTTCTTGCCTCTAGAACTGAGAGGGAAGACATGTATGTTGTTTAAGCCACTGTTTGAAGTACTTTGTTAGGGCATCCCTAGGAAACGAATAAACATAGATAAAAGTATACAGCGAAATTGAGTACCAAGCACTCCAAACTTAAAGACTGGTTAAAATGGTCACAAGACTTCTGAGAAAAATGTCTAGTCCAGTAGCAGTTTTTATGTTTTCCAAACTAGAATGAGACTGCATGGATAAATGAAACCAAACTTCCAGTTAATTCCATAATCCCATTTTGCTGATTTTTTTAAACACCACATCTGCATTTCAATAATTGATTTCTTTATGCCAGAGGCGTTAACAAAATAATTTATACATTTATTGTCTACTCTTCTGCCCATCTTGAGTAGTGATTGTTAAAAGGAGATGTTCAAAGACAAACAGGAACAGAAGAAACAAAACTGGATGAATATTCTGCACAAATTCTACTGAAGAATGGAGTTTGGTTTTGTTCTTACTTTACACCATCTAATGTCCTAAAGAGTAAAATAAAGGCTTCCTGCCACCTTTATAGCAAATCAGTGACCTTTACCGATTACGCTTTGGTCAAGGGAGCCAGCTATCATTTTTTTAAAATTGAGATGTGATACATATAATTAGCCTATTTGTTCATTTATTCATTTATGTATCCTCACCCGAGGATATGTTTTAGTGATTTTAAAAAGAGGGAGAGAGAGAAACATCCATGTGAGAGAAACATCCATCAGTTGCCTCATGTACATGCGCCACACTAGATACTGAACCGGCCCTGATCAGGAATCGAACCTGCAACCTTTTGGTGCACAGGACGATGCACCAGCCAACTGAGCCACACTGGCCAAGTTATAATTAGTCATTTTAAGTGCACATGATTCAGTAGCATTTAGAACATTCACGATGTTGTAAACCCCCTAGCTCTAGTTCCAAAATTAGAATGTTGTGTCTCTTTTCGCTTAGCATAATGTTTGTGAGGTTCTTCTCCACGTAGACCGCTGTATGAGAGATTCATATACCAACTATGCTGTGGTCTGTGTGGTTTATGTG